CGGTACAGCAGAAGCGCGGCGGCGCTCCCGCCCGAGGGTTCGGATCCCACATACAGACCGGTTCCCGCTCACTGGCTGAGCCAGGCCGCGGGGGCAACACCGAGGGTTGCGGTCCCGTTGCCGGTCCCCGGTCCGGTACGGGGGCAACACTGAGGGTTGTGATCCGTTGCCGGACACGGAAAAAGACAAAAGACAAAAAAAAAAAAAAAAGACAATTATAAAAAGAAAAATAGCTAGTTACAGTGGAAATATAACAGAGGCCAACAGTAACCATATAATTTTTGGCAAGTTACTTCATCTATCTGATCAAAGTTTCCTCATATGTAAAAGCAACTTTTAGCACAGATTGCTGGGCCCCCTTAACTTGCATTTCTAACAAGTTCTCAAGTGATGTTGCTGTTGCTGCTGCTCCTGGCCCAAGGACCACAGTTTGAGAACCACTGGATTTGATGGTACCTCAATCCCTTTCCAGCCATTAAATTCTATTTTTTTCTCTAAGATTACATGAAATAAGAGGAAAGGGATGTCAATACTGACACCTTTTACCTAGCAATACCATTTGTTAGAATTTATCCCACAGATAAAAATATTGGGCAGTTACTGATTACAGCACTGCTTGTAATAAAGTGTGAAAACAGGCGAAATGTCCACCGGTAGAGGATCTGTTAACTAAGCAACGGTATATCTCTACAAAGTAATACTGTTTTGCCACTTAAAAGGAAATGATCATACTGATATGGGAAAACCTCCAACAAAAACTGTTATGAGAAAAAAAAACAATATAAATAACATACTCCCATTTGTATAAAATGGGATGGGGGAGAAAAATATATGTACACACAATTTGCTTACATCAACATAAAATTTTTTTGTAAATATACACTTTAAAAACCTAATAATATTGATTGCCTTTAGGGAATGAAGTGGCATGACTAGGGGAGTACAAGGTAATTCCCAATATTCTTTTACACTTTTTGAATATGGGGCTATACATCACATAGAAGGCAACGGAGACAAGATCTGAAGAAGCCCCTTCCTCTGATCTTTGTGCAGTGTGCTTGCTGACCTAATTAGGGGAGTGCACTAGAGGAATCCATGATGCTTCATCTTGTCATATCTGGCTCTTAGTCGAAGCCTGCTGAGTTCACCATTGATCCTGATTCTGTTCTCCAACATACTGGTTATTTGATCAGCAAGCCATCTATATCTTTAGCTATGGCATTGCTAAAAATGGTGAAAAAAACTACACTAAGGATAGAATTCTGTGTCATCTCATCAGATAACTTCCAAGTTACACATTCACCAGAGTGTTGTCACCCATTTACTATTTCTTATCTACAGAGGATAATCTAAAAAGTTATGTCAAATGTGTTGATAAAATGCAGATAAACAACAACTACCACATTTCTCTGACCTAGAAACCTGCCTAAAAGTAAAATTCAGGTAGTTTAGTACAAAGTCCATCCTCCCTCATTTTAGAAGTGAGAAAATGATGCCAAAAAGTTTGGCTTGCCCAATGACATTCTTAATGGAACAACTGGAATTAGACTTGAAATTCAATGTTCTTTCCACTAGTTAGCTCATATATAAATGGGGATATTCATTTATATCCCTGCCAACTTATATTTTTATAGGTAAAATGAGATCAGATTTGTGAATGAACATTGAAAATAAGAGGCTCTACAAATACAATTAGAGATATATTATTCTATATAGTGTTATTTTAGAGTTACGAGGTAGATCTTTATTACAAGCTCCATACCTATTCTTGCTGCTTCTCACCTATCATCCACTTTCACCTGAAACTTTAAACATTCAACTCCATCTATTTCATACACTCTCATCGTTTGAAAATTGAAAGAGACTTTAGAGATGCTCAAACTCAACCTCTTTCTAATTCATAGGGAAGGCAAGACTATTCTCAAAGCTACACAACTACTTCAAAGCAAAGGTGGAATAAGAATGGGTCTTCCTTCTTAGGGCAGAGTTCATAGTACATCTAAGACTTTCTACCTTAGATCAATGCTGCCTTCACTCCTACACAATATATTCAGTCATCAACATGATCACATACTATGTAACGAAAACCATTCCTTGCATCAATTCTACTATCTCCCCACTTCTGTAGGCCAGAAGACACTGTCAAATTAATATACAGAACCAAAAACACTGCATTTTCAGTCAACCTAAAATTGGAGCCTCACCCCTGTTCTC